ATCGCGACGACACGAAAGCGGTAGAGACAACAGCAGGCGGATACATTGCCTAGGATCGTCGAGACTAGAACAACAGCATCGGGCAGACAGTTTTAGATGAGGTAGCTAATGTCTTCTTTTCTAACTTTGCAAGGCATGTATACGGACATATAACGCGGAGCTGGTCGGGCTATTGGAGATAGTGATCGACAGAGGACGGCGTCAGAACAGCTCGATTTGCCTGGCTGTAGAAGTCAGAATGTGCTCAGGTCTAGTCAAAGATGCGACGACGGCATCGCTCGATCATCGGACTGAATGCTGCGTGCTGCATCTTGCCGCGCTTTCCTGGTCTGGTCGAAATGTGATCAAATTCTCACGATTTCGACGTCAATGGAAGGCGCACGGCAGCTGGCGAAGTGTGCCTGCAGCTGCGCCCGTCGGCGGTCCGTGCCGGGCCGCGTTGGAGGAAGGCCGCGCCAGGCCCCGCCCTGAGCGAGTCACCCTCAGTAAGCCGCCCTCACCATCACACATCAACATGCCGACCCTACCTCGAAGCACCAAACAAGCCACAAACCCGTCGCCATAGCCGTCAATGCGCATTCAATCGCTATTTGTTGCCAGCCATACGCATCGCTCACAAACATGGCGTCATGGTACCCAGCACGGCGGTTGACATGACCTACCATGGCCCACCCGCTCCTCTCACTCGATATGTTTAACTCTCCTTCTCTACACGCGTACGCGCAGCCTCGTCTATCCGGTTGCGCAACCTGAGACGATTGCGACGGCCAGGACCACCCACCCAATACACCGACCGCACACCCATGCGACCCAGAACGTCGCCTACAACGTGAGCATTTGGCTACCCTAGCGGACACGCCGTCGCCAGCACCATCGCGATGCCAGACCCGCACCGACAACACACGCAACCGATACCGCACCTCAGCGTTGCTCATACGCCAATGCGCGAGTATGCCTCCATACCCGTTCGCACCCCCTCAGCCTTCACCCACTCATTCCGCCCGCCATAGGCAGCTCTCAAATGCCGCTCTCGACGAAGAATACATCAAGGCTGTGCTTCGCCCTTCGGGTCTCGCATTCCTCTCTGGACTGGTCCAGGAGCACACTTCGGGGTTGGGCCCTGCAACAACTGCAACGACCACAGGGTGGGCGCGCTCTCGCAGTACAGTATGTGCGACAGTCTCGACTCCGATTCTGAAGGATCCATCCGCCGAACCATCCCATCATCCAGCAACGGGCCATGCACTGACCTTAGTACAGGACCGCCGCCTTACCGACGACTCGCAGCCGGCGCACATATACCAAGGGACATGCAAGATGGCGCAGTCAAGACACAGTCGCATACGGGCATTGTGTCGAGCCGGCTGTCGTTCGCGCATCGTCAGCAAAGGCTGCCCTGCGGCAACTCCCACTGCAAGTATCTCGACACAGAGTACGCCCTCATCACGACCATCCATCGAATCACGACCATCCATCGAGTCGACGCAGGACTGCAGCGTTTATTAGGGCCGTTAGCGTAAATGCGTGCGGTTGGCTCGACGGCATTGGAATGGATACATTACTTGGACAATGAATCGTGGCGGAGGCTATGGGGACGAAGCAACTGGACGGTTCAGTGTGAACAGGTAGGCGTTGTACATGGCACCCAATTCCTGTAGTCATCGCTAATATCTCTCGTCAGGGAAGCAGCCACGCCACTAGATCGAGCGCTGTCGACGAGCCTCTCTTACCGATACGTCTTTACACCGATCCATCGCATGACGACAACGCAACCACGCACACCTTGCAGACCAGCACCACGACGTCCAGCCCCACCTCCATGCATACAATTCGAGCCCGGACATGACAGGCGCAGAGCCTGTGGGTGAAGTGGAGTGTGGACAGCTCATCGGAGAGCCTGGAGAGCGGCCCTTCGGCTTATCAAATCTGGTGTCATCCTCACACAGTGCTCTTGAATGACGCCGAGACAGGCTGCCGTGGCGCGCAGTCCTCTCTTCGTCGTTGCGCAACACTGTTCAAAGACAACCGCCACGATCTAGTGCTTTTGGTAGACTGTGATCCTTTCTTGTCACGCTCTGGGTTTACGTACACGGTCTACTACCGGGGACAACGTGTCTGGACAATGCGCACTCACACATACACCAAAGCCCGATGCCGCCACCTCCATGAGGAACTCAAGATGGGTGCAGTTGCCAAACAAAAGGTAACAAAGAGATATCGGGGCGGAACGCTTCCAAAGAAGCGTCTCAGCATTCGCATTTGGAACCCTTGCCTGATGAACAACGGGGCGTAGCCTGATAGCCGTTCAGAAATGCCTACGTAGCTGGGAAGAATGTAGACTTCCCATTGATGATGACCTGTTTCGGAGGCCTTCTAAGGACGGCATCGTCGCGATGAAAGGAGTCCTGGAAGTCTTTGTTGCTCCCGAGTCCGTACTGCCCGAGTACGCAGTCTCTTTGTGCCAGATCTCCGCCACTCAATCTAGCAGAGAAGTTACTTTGCTTCGATATCGCTCCGTCGTGGCCACGCAAGTTGAATTGATCTTTTCATGACCAACACGATGTTCTGACAGAACCCCAGATCTTGCTACGATTCGCATCAGTCGGTATCTAGCCCATTCTCCCTCTCTCCATGGCGATTCCTCTGTCAGATCTCCACGTCGCTTCGGAGTACGTGTCTCCACCGATCCAGAACGCAAATTCCAGGCCCAGCATCCCAAGCGTATCGAGCATTCACGATGATGGAAACAATACTCTTCAATTTCCCAGGTACAGAAAGGCACTTAGTATCCCGCTCGACGCACACCAGCTGGCCTACCTTGACAGAAACCCTTTGCCAACACTGCCTCTACTAGCAAAAGTTCGTCATTGTTGCACACGGTTCACCGATAAGCTCCCCAATCACACACCACCGCAACTTCTCAGTAGTGTCTGGCACGTCGGAACAGACAGTTTTCGCATTCTCGGTGTTATTGTAGCGTTTGTTGGTGGTGTGGCAATGAAGGGAGCTCGATGGCTTATCTGGAGTAAGCTCATCACTACCCAGTTTTCTCGCCCTGAAAACCAAGTCCCAGCATTGCTAACTATTTTCTAGAACGACCATTCGCTAAGAGGATTGTATCTTGGACTATTCTGTTATTGCTGGGCTCCTTTTCCTCTTCCCTCGATGCCGGCAACCTCACTACACCGACTAGAAATGACGCTACTGGCCCTTTGTCCGGCTGGACGTCAGCTTGCCCCCCGACCTTTCTTCATTCTGATCCAGACCTCATACTCGGCGGCTATCCACGCGTCTATCCCGACCTTCAACAGCCCTGGAAAGACGCATATGAGGGGTGGAAACATTTCAGGAAGTGTTGGGCTGGTCCAAGTCCAAGTCCCCACAACCACCCAAACTGGACCAGTCTGTTAGCCCCAGGTAGCCAGCAGCTAAGCGTACATTCCTCATTCTGTATGATTCTGCGCATGCATTGCTGACTGGATTAGGAATTCGAGATTAGATCCCAGATCTTCGAGCGTGGGCGATATGCGTGGGAGATACTCAGTCAATGCCACGACTTTCCCTGCTCTGCCCAGTATGGGAGAACAATTGATTCACGACCACTTGCCTCCGCCCCTTGGGAGCCGCTTCGATATGAACCTCCGGACGACGACCTCGCTATGATCAACAGGAACCGTACATGTCCTCCGTGCCGATTGCGGGACCATCTTTCCACTGCCTTCTCAACTTCTGGCTTCGACCTCGCATCGCTACCTGCTTCATCAGAGGAACTTGAGACCTGGTGCCCCTGTAACTTTGCTCTGGCCTACAAAACGACGCTTCATTTCCTCGCCAATCTACCGTTCCCGTATATCCACCCGTTCTACTCATCGCATCACTCAACCCTCAACAAGCGCGATGACATTCTGTCGATACTCATTCGGTCGTGGAATTGGATGAACAAGATCTGGAACGGAGGACGCATGCCAGGCCAACAAGAATTTGTAAAAGCTTATGCGGAGGGTTGGTGGAGTTACGAACTGAGCAAGACGCATTGCAGCGGGAAGGATTGTCCCCTTCTTAATATTCACGAAGTATATGCTGCGAGAGGCCTACGTTTTCGCAGAGAATACCATGTTCCGTTTTGGGCTCAACCCCTTGATTGATGATTTCCTACGAGCCTCCAGGGCAACATAATACATGCCATTGCGAAAGCGAAGGTGTCGTAAGGCGCCAAGATAGAGCGGATTGCCGCCCTGCGCCGTTTGACAATCTGACATCATGTTTGCCGTCATTTTCAGTATTGCCCTGACTGTGCCAGGCAGTTGTTTGAGTATCACGACGAGCTGGTACACATAACTATAGGAAGAGCAACCACCGACTCAGAGAGAAGAGAGCAGCGCGAGCACAACGCGAGGTCGGCTGCCGTCCGCATTGAGCGCGTTCACACCGGGGACTACTAATTCATGCGGCAGCATGAAATCCATCGCATACATCCATATCACGAACAAGAGATCCAGGAAGCGTAGCAATTTCGATACCGCGCACACTACAATCACACGTACGCCTGACCTCGTACAACAACGGATCATGCAGAAGAAGCCGCAGAACAAGATGATGCTTATGCCCGAAGACTAGGTAGAATTGCATGCACCACGTCGGCGCACCATGCAACATTAGCCGCGGCAGTCACGGAAGTCTCGGGTCATTTCGTACATCGTATTCGGCGATACCGCGGGGGTAAGACGTCAGGATAAGCTTCCACATCGAGCTGCACACCGCTATTCATAGAAAGATCGCTGTGGAAATAGGGTATACTAACGAGGCAAGACGTAACATGCTCGCAATCAGGTTACCAAGGCAGCTAGTCGCGCAATGTAGCGGTGGGTAAGCGTAGAGTGGTCGCCAACGTAAAGACCTCGAGTTATCCGCATCTTACCTCTTCTCATCTGTCCATTTGCAACATTATCGAAAGAGTGTTTATCTCCCTTTTAAATAAACATCTCCTCCTCGCAGTCATCATGAGGTTCTCTGCCATCGCGTCTTTCTTTGCTGTTGCCGTGGCCAGCGCCGCGGCCGATGTCACGCCTCGATACGATGTCGACAACTTCTCTGCATACTGTGTCGCTGACGGCGGACTGTGCTAGTACGTCTTCTTTTCATGTCACTCGTCGCCCATCTAACAAGCGCGCAGCTACGACTTCGAAGTTCGTCAGCATGCGAACGGCGAGACGATCCCCACAGAATGCGACACATCTGCCAAGGGCGATGGAGCCCTTCCGAGTGTCTCCGAAGGTACATGCAAGAGATCTTCGCGCACTTTTGCCGTGATCAGGGAAGAGGATGGCAGCCTCAACTTCTCCGTGAGCCAGCAGATCACACCGATCTCCTTTACGGTCGGCAACCACACCATCTCCGCGGACCAGATCGAGAAGAAGGACGGGCAGGAGACATACGTTGGGCCGAAGAGCTTCGGCCTGTACAGTTCTTAAGAGAATAGGGAGAGGAGATTGAGAGATCCGCGAATAGAAATGAGTAGACTTCTACATTATCTTCATTCCTCAAGCAGTGATGCCTTTGAGTCTGGCTTCATGAATGAAGTGCTGCCGAAATAGTCTTGTCTACCCAGACACGAAAGCTCCGACTTTGAAGAGGAGGTCTTGGTCGCTCGCTCATGCTGCATGCTCAGCTGCAGGTGTCCATAATCGCAACCCCGGGTAGATGTCAGCGACTGACCGCGAGGCGTCGCTTTCTGTGCAGGTTTTCTTATTGACGACGCGCAATATACAAGTGGATATCAGGTAGTGTTCGCAGCGTCCCTCGTGGGAAAACTGCGGCGTCTCGATCAGCGAACGTGATCGTCATCCAATCATTTTGGGGACTAGCATGTGCGACAAATTTTGCAGCACGGATAAGCTTGCTTGTTATCAGCGGCGGGGCAGAGCCAAGAGGTAGCCTGGATGCAGACGTGGGCTGTGTCGGTGTGAGAAGTCGGCGTATACCGTGACCACGAAGAAGTAAGATCATGCTCACTGCCAGTACCTCAAGCACGTAACCTGGAAACCAAAAGCTGCTTCCAGACATAGCGACGCGCGTTTGTAGGTTCTCATGATCAAAGCGTCTACGCAGTCAACGACGTGTATGATGTGTGGGTAAAGAACTGGAAACGAGTACCAGTGAAGTATGCGAAATCTGGGACGGCAGCTTCGTTGCAAACCGTAGTCTATAATCGATTGTTGCGGACGTCAGCAAAGTACAAGAAGCGGGGCGACGGATCAGCACGGTTGCGGAGAAGGAACATCAGTGTGCCTTTGAAGGAGACGCTTTCGTATGGCAATAGTGTATGGGAACGTAGCGGTGACCGCATATCTGGTGGAGATGAAATATCTTGCAAGCAGGCGAATAGACTAAACCCATACTGACACTGCCCCGGAGGTTGAATCAGCGTTGAGAAGCATGTGTCTTCCGTGCTCGCCTCAGCCGGCTGCGTCGAGTCGGCGTCTCCAACGAGTAATGTACAATTCCAAATGTTTAGAGCCGCATATGTGGCCGCTGGATGCACATCCGAGGGTGGTGTTAGAAGACCCGAACGCTGCAGCCGACAACAAGGTCCTATGTCAGAAGCTGGGAGAGTAGCCATGCCGACAACCATCACCATCTGAACAAGACCTGACACTAAGCGCTGTATCTCTTCACCACCCGAAGAACAAACGATTTGCGCCAATGCTAGTGCTTCTGACATGTCCCTCCTACTACTAGCCTGACGGCAGTCTGCAGTAGTTACCTGAGCCGGGACGAGGTTTCGGAGCGCGATAGAACGACCGAGAGCTACATCTGGATGCGAAGACTGACCGGACTGCGCGGTCATGAGAAGCACCTGATCTTGGTGGGTGCGACATTGTATTCGGGTTATCGCGCATGCCAGGATGGGTGAGACAAGCGTTATTGCGGCCGTTCGTTCAAATACTAGTCGGATATATTGGTAGATGAGGCATTACATTCTTCCGCGACATTGCTTTCCCAGATCTCATATCCTCTTTCCAGCTACATCGCAATAGTTGCTGGCGTGAAGATGTGTGGTGGTTGGGGGAAGACCTCATGCTTTGACGCCGGCAGCTGACAGAATGTGAAGCGGACTTTAGGGCTCGATCGGCTTTCGTGTGCAACGTGCGATAAGGCGGACTATACGATGCGACACAAGTCGTCTGGCTCGGTCGCGCAGGCTGGGGCGATCTGATGAGGTTCGTTGTGTTCTCTTGCTCCAGTCAATGCGTGAGGACACTTGGATTAGTAGTGGCTAAGCAGATACGTCGCGCAGGCCACAGAGCCAGCGTTGCGCTGCTCCTTCGGTCTGAACAGTTGTTTCAACATTCATTCTGCCTTCCGTTCCTGGCGGCATGAAATGGCGATGCTGACGGATGTGCCCTGATCGCACGACTATTCACGCTATCGCAATCATACCGTATACTAAAGCCTAACGTCGATGACCAGCTCGAGCTAGGACTAGACAGCAGTCTGAGTTGAACGCGCACTCTATCTCATCACTCCTGATCGCACGATTGTCAGAGTATGAAGGCGTCGACATCATTTCAAGAGTCCGCTAATATCTGCCATGATGTGAAACCAGTGAAGTATTTGAGAATATTGGTGCGCAAAGCGAGATCTTCGATTCCAGCGTTCGGAAATCGGTCCCTGCGAACCTATCAAGTAGCTGGGTAAAAGGGTGAAGTCTGAGTCCGAAGAAAGCTGACGAAGATGCCTTTGATTTGGAGAGCGCGGGGCTGCACAGGAGTCAAAAAGCCCCAGTCACCTGCGACTATGCGACCTTGCCAGGCATGTGTTGTGTGATGAGACAGGAAACAATGTCGGGGGCTGCATAGCACTGACATCACAGTAAATACATGACGATCCATCATGTAGTGAACACCTTCATGATGCTTAGTCTTGACTCGTCGACATACGATTGCGGTGGCCTTTCCCTTCTCTCAACTTCTTGAGTGAAACAGAGGCTATCTTCACGAACTCCTCAAGCCCGTCGCAAAAGTCGTCGCGAATTTCACCGCTCTTGGTGCCCACTTCTTCCACGGCAGTTTCGACAATCTCCTCAGTCTCCTCCTTGAACTTGCACAGCTTATCGTCAACCACTTCACCAAGCTCTCGTATGCAGTCTTCCTTGATTGTATCGACATCGAGCTTGTGGTCGGCAACCACGTCTTCAAACTCTCCCTCAGCTTGGTTGCGTAGGCTGTAAGCTTGGTCATTGGCATCAGCGAAGATTGAAGCCAAGTGATCCTTGGCAAGAACTTCCAGGCGGTCGGCTATGAGTGTGCCGAGGGAAGGCGAGGGTTGGGGCGTACAGCTGGCTCTGGGGGGAGGCGACGAAGACGGTGTTTGTCTGGGAGCAAGGGATCTATGGAGGACATCCGGCAATATGCTCCTGAGAATGTTGGGCAACATGCTTTCGACAATGGCTGGAAGCTGAGCCGCGACGGACTTATTGACGACGTCTTGGAAGGCGAGCTGGGCACTGGCGTGTAGAGATGGGTGTGCACTCGTAAGTTCTGCTTCCTCCTTCTCGAATGGCGAATGAGGGGATGTGCCGGGTGGACAAGGTGAGGATGTCGCGACTTCTGTGGGCGACCCTTGATCGTAGTGCGGACGTTTATGAGGAGGCGATGCAGGCTGCGAGGGTGGCGTAACTATCTTGCGTATGAGTAATTGTCGAGGAGGTGATTGTGTCACGAGGTAACCTACCACGCCTGGGTCGCTTTTGTGATGCACCTGCGTCTACCGCGTTTGTGTACGAAGGTGGTGGTTGGTGGTCTTCTTCAACGGTACAGAAGATGGCCCAATCCGCGTATACACATCCATCGGCACTCTCAGAGACCCCCGAAAACGCTCCCAATTCTTTGAACAGGCGTTCTAGAGGAAGACGATTGTTGGCGTGCACCCAATTGTAGTCAAAGGTGATATCGATCGCTGTAGCTTTCGCGAGGGCAGCCAGGCGGTGGAAAGGGGCCTCATATCCGCTCTTCGATGTGAAGGTACTGGCTGAAGAAGGGCACCTGATCACGCATGGCTTCGCGAGCGTGAGAACCAATGCTCTTATTTGGGGATTTCCGGCGCGTGCGATGGAGGTCAACTGGTCGTGGGAAAGGGACGTGGTAGCATCGCTGAGCGTAGTTGCGTCGCGCATCAGGTTGTCAGCATCATAGATCAAAGTAAACGTTTGCTCATCATCGAAGCCATGAATGAAAGTCGTGCATTGTAAATGGAAGCTAAGCTGCAATGGCTCCTCGTTGTACTTCACAACCAAGACACATGGTGACTGTGCAGCAGGGTCCGATCTCACGCTTGCCAACACGGGCACACCCTTTTTAGAGACAAGCCAGCGGACCATGGTGTAGAAGTATCACTCACAAGTGATATCCCCCTTGCGATGAAGCAAGCGCAAAGGAAACCCACCCGCCCGGGCTTTTGACGCGTTGTGCGCCGAGAGCAGCCCTGACTCGTTGTGTCCAGCTCGGCGAATGGTGCTGGGTGTAACGGAAGCGCGGTGTCGGCTCGTGAACTGCTGTCCCCGTCGTGTCCGCACAACCTGTGACTGCTTGAGAACCGCCCCTTTGACGCGTGAGTCGCCGACGCGTGGGCTGTAGGCCGACAACGCCGCGCGCACGTCAAAGGTCCCGGGGGATGGCGGACTGAGGCAAGGCGACAGGCAGGCGAAGAGGACCGGGGGCCAGGAGCTGACGAGAGACGGTGGACGCGGTTGACGGCGGCTAGCAGGTGAGGTCGAGATGGTTGGGGACGATGGCGGTGATGGTGGTCGGAGTCGAGGTCGCGCTCTGAGCGTGTCGGTGGCGAGCGCTGCACCTTCCGGGGTCGGACTTTCCATTTCCCCGTGTGGACGCTAGGCCTTTCCGACTAGCGTGACGACACCCCCGCCGTTCCTCGATGCTTACCATTCTTAACAACGTCAAGGGCAATGATGCTTGTTACACACTCAGCGCCCATTACCATCACTTGGTAACACGACGCGATATGTATTGTACCAATACGATACACATCAACACGTGCGCCGCTCGTAGTGCGCGGGAGGCAGCTCTGATTGCAAGTGCAGTTCCCAGCACATCAGCGCATATAACAGCACGCTCGCGCGAAGAAGAATGGGCTACTTTTCGCTCGATGACGCCCGGCGCGGTATGGTGGGGAAAGTGACAACATTCGGACGCGCAGCAAAGACAGGTGAACATCATGTGTGGCCTTTATCAGATCTGCGTTCTGGATCTACAAGACGAAGAGCTACGTTTTGTTGTGAACAGCGTATAGGGGTATCTCAGATCCAAAAAAAATCAAGTCTCAAACAGGTAACAGCCCTCTACCAGGTGTCTCAAAGGTCGTAATCGAAGTTTAACACGTACTGAGACGAAGAGCTACAGAGCTAGCGTGGATCTGATGCTTCGAAGCGTTCCTGTGGCAACACGGTCATGGC